CCATACTTGATACTTGACTTGATATTAAATCGAATATTTCTTTACATTTACAAATTCAAATTTCGTTGTAACCTTATTCATTTATATTATACAAATCCATGCTTGATACTTGATAAATTACTTGACCATTTCTTTACTTTGCCCAATTCAAAATCAGTTGTAAATCTACAGTATGGTACTCATTTATATTATACAAATCCATACTTGATAAGTTACTTGAAAAGTAAAGAAATAGTCGATTTACTATTTCTTTACTTTTCCCAATTGAAATTGCGTTGATAAACTTCATTATGGTACTCATTTATATCAAGCAAATACAAGCTAGATACTTGACAAGTTACTTGATAAAACTAAATAAAACTATTTCCTTACTTTGCCCAATCGAAATTCCGTTGTAAATCTACTCATTTATATTATACAATTCCATGCTTAATACTTGACAAGTTACTTGATATTAAATCGATTATTTCTCTACATTTCCAAATACAGTACATTACTTATTTATATTATAAAAATTCATACTTAACAAGTTATTTGACAATTAAATCGACTGTTTCTTTACATTCCCTAATTCAAATTTCGTTGCAAATATCGTTGATATAATATATATTCTTGTTTGTACTTGACGAAATACTTGAAGATTATTAATCAACTATTTCTTTGTTATACGTAATTCATATTCAACTGTAAATTATATTTCATGGAATATTTGTCATATAAAATCGTACTATGATTATAATTGTGAAAGAAATGCATAAATTAAATTAATAAATTACAAAACTGATTTATTAACTTTATTTTTGGAATTATATTTAATAATAAGATACTAATAATTTTTCATTATATTATTAGAAAAAAAATCACAACTATTTTTTATGGCAAAACATCAATTATAACGTAATTTTATACAAATTACACTTTAAAATATTTGGAAATATAATAGATACAAGTAAACAAATTCAAGGATTTAATTGTTTTAATAGATTCGTTTATTAACAAATTAATTTTAAAGTAGGATTTTCATTTTGTAGACTATTATCAACTTTAAGGAATGGAGTTAATTAGAACAGAAAAGGGGTTGCAGGGGGCTTCGGTTTCCGGCTTTCATTTTTAATGGATACACCGAGCTTAGGGCTGGGGGTTGGGGATCGGTGTTCCTTCCTGGACGACTTTGCGCCAATCTGGCTCGACAAACACCAAGGGCTCGAAACTATTAAGGCTCTCCAGGGCCTCCCGACACCGCGGAACTCTTCCGGCCGTGATTTATTTTATCATCACTGACAAATTTAATTAATTAAGACGGATGATTAATCGCCCGGACGTTGCAGCCCGTCAGGACAGAGGAGCGCCAGTTGGCGACATCGGTGGAGTGGAGGGATAAAACGAAACGACGCCGCCGTCGCCTCAACCGCCCCCAACTTTTTTAAAAATTTAATTTGCCCCCGCAGGCTATGCGTGTGCCCTACTTTTTCTTGTTTCATCGTCGCCCGCCTCATCACTGATTGATGCGACTAATCAGCGTATTTAAATTAAATTCATTAATCCTCTCAATCTTAACAAAAACTAAAATAAAAATATTTATACGATAGTTTTGATTTACACAATCTGTTGCAATTGATACTTTCATATGAAAAACAGCAGAAAGAAAATTATAAATTTTTGTTATCTGAAAGATAATATTAAATCTTTGTTTGATGTTAAAAAAATCTATGAAAATTCTATTGTTTTTAATGAAGTAAGGAAATATTGTATTTCAAGTTTCTTAGACTATAAAAATGATTTTTATTGTACAAAAAATATATTTTCAATACCATCATAGGTCTTTATGACCTTTTGATTAATAAAATTAAATTGTATGAACCGATACCGATAAGAAAGTTTTAAAAGCAAAATTCAAGCAAATTACATTTATTAAATTGTTATTAAATTACATAAAGAGAAAATTGTACTTTTTTTTACTATTATTTTTTAAGTGAAACTCGAAGTCTAATAATAAATTGTGGAAACAGTTGAAAATAAATATGGAAGATGAGAACGAGATGCACATGGTTTTGACGAATTGCAAATGCCTCCAACATGCGTATAAGTATTTCTTGCAGCGACATTTATAGAATAAGTGCAACATTACATTTCACGCAACGTTATAAAATATAATTTATTTTAAAATGTTCGTTCCACATGTTTAAAAATAAATTAATAAAATAATAATAAAAAATGATTTTAAATAAATAAAAATGAAATCAGTTAGATTACAGTAATGTAAAATATAACAGGAGTAACCAAACTGAGGATGGCGAGCCGCATGCGGCTCTTGAAGAGTTTTATTGCGGCTCAGTTAGATTACAGTACTGTAAAGTATATAACAGGAGTGACCAAACTTAGGATGGCCGTTATTCAAGACTTTTATTGTGGCTCAACTAATAAATAATATACATTTTTATACCAAAAAAACTCCCAATATTTTCATGTAGGCTTTTGGTGCAAAAAGTCTGGCCACCTCTGGTAAATAATATGAAAGATTTATGAATTAATCATCCAGAGGTATTACTAAATTATCATATTTAATCCTTTCATTAACAATTATGGAATTATTTATGTGAATGTGAAAATATGTTTTAATTATTGAACTATTTACTATTTATTTTGTAGTGGAATTATATCCAAAGTTGTATAATATTATTTAAATCCGTATATAAAAATGGAACATTTTAAATGTTCTATTATCTCTAGAAACAATGTGTAATATTTTAAGTAAAATTTATAGTCCTGTGGTCATAAAAGCGTTGAAATTAATGGTTGTAGCACTTGAACAAATAGAGCGAATTAGGCTGAAGTAGAATGAAGAATATTTGGCTTCTTATGCATATTTATCGCGACGTCTTCGCGGGTCTTCCATGTCGAGGTTAGTGTTCAAGCCTTGTTGCTCGGAGGTAGGTACTGGGATCTTCTGGGCTTACGGGCCCATCCCGTATTAATTAGAGGCCATCTGTCTCTTAGAGAGGCGGCCTACGACCAGACGGGGCACGGCTCTAAAATCTTCCGACATCACTTTTACTCCACTACTAAACGAATACTCTTTATATACACTGCAATAAATGTCGAAAAGCGGATGATAAAAAAAAAGAAGAAATTGAGAGTGTGAGAGAGAGACGTCTCTCATGGGGCAGACTACAAAATAGCAAGGAGCCATTTACCCAAACTTTTCTACACGAACAATAAACCCGCTGATCCTTTTACTTTCCATAAAGCTTTCATCAAAATTGAGAGCGCGCATATATTGGAAAAGCCGTAAAGTGAGCTTATTCCCTACTTAGCTGACATAAACTTATACGGCGGATTGCGAGTAAAATAATCATATCGTTCCGCCTCGTCTTCTCGCGAGACTTGAACTTACATAATTTTCCGACCTTATAACTAATAGTTCCTCAAAGGGCGCATCTTTACATTGTATTTCTCTTTTATTACCACATCAAATCTGTTAAATAATTAGACATACAAAGTCTTTACATATCTACATTACTTAATACTCTAAAATTTCTCAAAAAAACACAGAAAAGATTCGATCAATATTTCAATTACTACAGTCAAACAATATTTATTTGTTTTTTTTTTAAATTAATCAACAAGTTTATTATTTTCTTTATTACTTATTCGGTATTACTTTTCCATAGAGGTTTTAGCTATAATAATAAAATAAAACGATAAATTTATCAGAAAGAAACAGTTTTGAAATTTCATGGTTGTTCATGAATCACAATTTTATATCCTAAACATCTTTAAGAGATTTATGTAACAATATGAAAAAAAATCTCTAAATAATACTACACCATTGATAAAAGTTTTATATTTTAAGGTTTACAATATAATTTAAATTATTAATTTAAACAGTAATCTATAATAACTTTCTTTACAAACAAAAAATGAGTGTAAGGAAACTCATCTTTTGTTATGTATTCCTTAGATACTATGTATAATATTTTTAACGAAAACATAAATTTACTTAATATTTACACGTGATCGCATTACGAATTCATTGAATTTTTAGAAGTTTACATTCATGCAATTTTAATTCGCATCTTAAATGTATGAATGTTTTGTTGGTTCTCTTCTTGCATATATATTTTTTGTAAGTCGATTCCTTTTGTATCCACTTTGGTCCCTGTGGAAAACAGATATGTTAAATCTGTTGGGAATCATCAAGTCTTTCAAAACATGTACGTTGTGAAGATCTTTCAAAAAAAATCTCGAAATACTAAATTATATTTTGTTTCGTGGGAATAGTATTTAAAATTCAGGTTAGGTAGATTAAATAGCATTTCGAAGTAATAAGTAATAATAATTTAAATCACAATACTAAATGGATGAGTGAGGGCATGTATCGAACAAGTTTTCTTTTTGCACAAAAACTGTATGGTACATGTGAATAGTTATGCCGGATCCAATTAGAATATAGTTTGGAAGGATGATAGGGGTTGATCAAATAATCTGGGCTTGTCGGGGAAGTTTTGTTCGGGACGTAATAAAATTGAACTCGGACAGCGTTTCGGGTGAGTTGCAGTTGTGGGTTGATAGTTTAGGGCACAGTGCTTCGGTGTGGTCAAGTAAATGGAGCACTAAAATTGTAACAAACAATGTCTTTAGCATTCCCCGGCCGTCAGCCGAACTTTGGCCCTTGGGTGCCTTATTCATCCAACCACCCTTCCCCCGACGTCAGCGGTGGATTCGGTGAAAATGCACCATTTAAAGATCCACCTCCCGTCGCCTACACCCTCATCCCCCGCGCATACCATAGAGACGGCGGCAACAACAGCAGCACGCCAGGCATTAGGTTCTGCCATTCTCTATTCCCCCATACCAATCCATTCCACCCTGAACCGAAACCCCGAAACTTACCCGTAAACAATGCGACCGACAGCAAAACACGTGTAAAATTAACGACAACTCGCTTTATTAAGTGTCGTCCCCCCTAGTCTCGGGACAAGATGAGAAAGTAGACTTACCAGCAAGAGCATTAAGCACAAGGCTGTCCTCTTCATGCTGCTCCCCTTCATCATTTGGCCCCGTCTACTGCTATATCGGACACCGCTGTCTCTTCCTCACACTCCCATCCGAAAAAGTCTGTAACAAACAAAAATAATTCAATAATTATCAAAAACTAATTAAATCATTAAGTAAGAAATTGTCAAACTTATTTAAAAAATCTTTGAAAATAATCTATAAGAGTTAACAAGATTAATTTATAGAGAATATTTATATAATTTTAGAAATCTAGAGAAATAATTATAAAATACATCAAAAATATTTCACATAAGATATTCCTTATAATATATCTGTAATAATAAAGAAAATTATTTAGGTTTATTTGATTTTAACTATAAAAATACAAAAAAAAAACCTTAGGTTTCTGTTGATTCTGTTCCGAAATGTGTAACTACTTACAATAGGACTAAAGTCATAGGAATGTATCATCTCAAAATTAACATTAAGAAACAATTAGAAAATTGCACGGAAATGTAATTAAAGATCATGATTTAAACTAATGAGAGAAAGCAAAGAAACAGGCGGAAATAATTGAATAAATTTAATTTTTAAATTACGGAAATGCATATATAAAAAAAAATCCTAAATTATAGTTTAAACTAAACTAATAAGATTGGCTATATTCTAATTATTGTTCAATATATGCCTGAAGAAATAATTTCGTAATTTCATTTACAGTCGTTAGTTCATAAAAAAAAAATAAAAGGTCTTAATATTAAATGTATAACATAATTAATTTTATATAGTTTATTCAATCAATTGAGAAATGACCTAAGAAAAATCAGTATTATTTATTTCATTACTTATTTTTCTTCACGTAGTGTATATACAAATAATTATATTAATTCATGGATTTGCTATGTATTTATATAATTGCATAACATTTCTATGCGATCAATGAATTCGCGATTGAAAGATTACATCCCAATTTTTATAATGAAAAATAAATGAGTAAATGAGATGAAAACAATGTAGAACGTGTTTAGAACAACGCTGAAAAAGCTAATAAGAACAAATTGAATTGGAATCGGGTTAATTGTCTGTACCGTGTAAAATTGTATCGTCGGATAGAATTAAGAAATAAAAGGAGCGATGCAATCCGCTCGGTTCGTCTTCAAGTCGCAATCAAAATAAGTAGATTTGTTTTGTTCGTTTTTATTCCGCAAACGGAACGTTAAGTGTTACCGTTTCACGGCACCATTTCGCGCCAAAACCTCCTTTCACATCTCCTTCACGGTTTCGGGCAATTCCGAAAACTGGGGGCGGCAGTAAACCGTGGAGCCGGTGATGAGGGAAACTCGACAGCACGAAGAAGAAGTAGAAGGAGGGAAAGGAAAAAAAAACACACAGCATCGCTCCGGGGGGATGAAAAAGAAAACAAGCATCCGACGTTGTTAAACATGAACGCAACGCTGTTCACGGGTCATTTATTAAATTTATGACACCTCATCGAGGGAGGCGCCCACCCCCGAAGCCTCTGCAAGCAGCAGCTCACTCACTGATCAAGATTTTACGAGGGGCAGTAAAAATTCCGGAAAAAGAACGCGATCTTCACCCCCCTTTGTATTTTTATTTTTTTTTGTTGTTGTTCTTGATCTCCTTATCCCAGAAACTTTCAAACAAAAAAACAATATATACGGGTTCGAATAAAAATTGAATCTTATTAAACTTGATTGTGTTTATCGGACTTCGAATGTCTTCATCCAATTTGCATTTTGTTCACTACACAAAACGCATAATTGTATTAAGTACTTTACGAGACTCTACAATGATATCCATTTATATATTTTTTTTTTGTTAACACCCTTTGATCCACCTATGAATCCAAGGATTTCTTGCTTTGAAGCTTCTATTTGATAGTGTGTGCAAGAGTTATTCGGGCTTTGATGAAATGCATCCCTTTGATCTCCTTCCTTGTGCCAGCCGTTTCGAAGCTGTCGCACATTTTGTTTTTTTTTTTGTTATTGTCCAAGTGAAATTACCATTTCATAGGAGAAACCCGTCTGGCAGCCAAAGACTGAATATTGGAAATATTGTAGTTTATTGCTCAATAAAGTAAGTGAGGCGCACGAATCTAAATAACGAGCGGATAATAAAAGCGGTGGAAAACATGGGGATATAAATTAAAGACGGTGTTGAGATGAAGGTGATTTCTTTTTAATTGCCTCCAATCGACGTGTGACAAATCTCCATTTTAATTGGACCTTAGATTTATCTCAGCAAACCACTGCTTAAAAAGACATCTAATTAACATTTATTATTCATTCAATATACAATTGTACAGATCTTTCGAATACTAATTGAAAATACCCAATCCTAACTTGAATACCTACATTTTATTAGTTAGATGTAATTATATTATCTATTTTAAGAGTTATTTATCAACTAACATAATTCAATAAAGTCATAATTTAGTTTACTGTATGTTGATGATGTAATTGATTCATGGGTCATTCTAACCCATCTGGTATTTGATTTCATTCGCATTCTATTGTAATTTAATTGTGGTGCAGCAAAGCATTCGCGGCGAGATGTACTTATTTTATTGTAGAGTGTATTTTGGGTCAAAGTGACCCGTCTATAGCAAATAAATTCTTGAAATAACACAAATATTTTGATTTTAAAATAACTTTGGTGTCCCATGTACCAAAAGCAAGGAAACTCAGTAATTCTGATATCCAGTATGCATAAGAATTAATAAGTGTTTATTGAACATCAATAATTTGTTCTATTTTTTAAATATGGATCATTTCGACCCATAGTACTTGCGGGTAGTAGAACGGGTTCATAGTTACATTTATTTCATAAACCAAATTTGGCTTCCTTTCTGTGTGCAATCTAAAGAATTGGCTGAATTTAAATACATTTTCTTTTAATTATAAACTAATTGCACATATTGATAATTTGATAATGTGCAATTATTTACTTACACATTTACGTCCCCATAAAAATGTTGGATTTAAATTTGGCGCCTTTTTTGTATATGGTTAGCATTTACTAATGGTAGATATGAACCATTAGTAAATCTTGTTATTAATAAATATGGAATACTACATGAAGTAACAACGCGTTATTATTGTTAAAAACGAGTAAAATTTTGCGGTATGTAAATTTCGTAGAATTTGGACTTTTGGACTTTCACGCACTTCGTTTCAAGATCAAACTTACTTAAGAACTCAAACCAATAAACTATACATAATAACAATATTTATATTTTACAACAAACTAAAAACTAAAATTTCGACTAAATAATATGTTCAATTCAAAAACTAAATCCGGTGTTCTTATTGAGACTAAAATTTTACATTTTTTTTTTAAAGTATTACGATATATAAGTAAAGTATTTAAAAGAAAATATTAAGTATTTAATAATATGTTATTTCGTTCAAAGTATAAAGAACAACAAACAATTTATTTACTGAAATGCTTGTACATTATATCCTATTTGAAATGAGATGCGGGATGCGTGAATTTTAAATTAAATCCGCGAATCGCGTGTATTGTGGAAGAATGCAGCGAGTCGAACTGACTGCGGAGGATGAGAATGAGTGCGAGTATGACGGAGAGAGAGAGATGTGTGTACGTACGGCTGCAGGGTGAAATTTGTAGCAGTTTCGAATTAAATTGGCGCAGCTCGCTTTTGGGAGAAGTTTATTGTGTATCAGTTTTGTCCGTTTTATTTTTATTTTTTATTTAATTTAATTTTGTTTGCCGATCGGAAAGTTCTGTCCCGACACATATAAGTAACAAACCCCATTCATTGTCTGCACACACTCGTACACATCCTGAAGGAAGAGATCCGGACTAAGGGGGGGTTGGGGGTCGAAAAGAGACACAGATACGGCCCGAAGGGGGAGGAAAACTTTGTAAATCCACGACGAGCCCCGAATAATCAATCGCACCAGATCTCACCCAATCTCACTCCATCAACAAAAATACACGCCGAGCACACAATAGATGACAGCTATGTGCACATCCTGCGAAACCTATTTCTCTCTCTCTTACACACTCAAAATATATCTATAGATATTTCGAGTCATTCGCAAAGCCATCAATCACAGGAATAAGTACTCCAGTTTTGAGGTAAAAACTCGTCTGTAATTAGATTGTAATGTAACAGTTTCGTTCATCGTTTCCCTCTTATTTTTTTTTCTCTGTGTATAGTTTTGTTTCGGATGCCTCCATCCATCATTTCCTGAAACGACGTCAATCAGTCCTGTGACGCGTAGGTATTTAAGTGGTCCACATGCTCGAAGTCATCGATCGTAACGAAGAAAAAAAGCTTCCATCGTTTTGTAATAAAAATAAGATTTCCACGAATGATATAGAATTCATAAATATTTAAGAAACTAATTTGAAGAAATAAAATTTTCACTCTTGTTAATACATCAAGAGAAAGTCGTTTAAGCATAATGACTTAATTCGTATTACCACTTACGTCCGACCTTATACGAATTTATGTAATTTATGGTGTAGTTACGATGCGACAAAAGCATACATTAAACAAGTTTCTCGTACTCATTACAATCCGTCCAAAAGAAGGCACAGAAAAATAGATTTGCAAACAAGTAGCAATTAGTTCTCATAAATAATTATAATACTTTACATAGAAAGAAAAAAAACATATAACTCACAAGAGTTTCTTTCTTCTATTATTATCATCTGTTGTTGTTTTTATTATAATAATAAATTTAAAAGGATAGCGACATCAAACGCAAGAGATGTGAGAGGTTTGAAATTACGAATGGATATTCAATGAAACGTCAATGTTTTGTTGTCGGTGGAAACAATGGCATACTATAGGCGCCGAATGAATAATAATTATTGTGGTCATTATCAAACAATCCAGAACAAGCTTACTTTATGTAAAACAATTGGAAACCGTGACGTGTTGGATGACAACTGTAATTTGTTTTGATGGATTTACAAGATGCGCCGTGTTCATTACCACAGACCGCAATAATTTATAAGCGACTGCATTATTCCATTATTATAAACCTATACATCATACTCTTACCTTTAAAGAGTAATAGCTCAGAAAAAACTTCAACTAATGTAAGAAAAACTGTAACTAGAGA